TTTTATCTGCAGACACTGTTCCTCGTTTTTTGAGCACTTGTATTCATAATTTACTTTTTCAGGCAGCTCAGAACATTTTTTGTTGTTGTAAAATCGTCTAAATCTTATGCCACAATAATACCTCCGTGGAAGTGGAAGTAAGAAATGTAGTGGTCTAGGAAGCGTGCCGCATTAATCTCAAATACAAATAGCTTATTATAAGTGTCATCTTCTTTCTTCACCTATCATCCTTTACTCTTCTTAACGACAAGTACAGGTTTAGGTATTAAAAACCCTGTCCAGGCTAATGGCTGACATTTGCACGAAGCTATTTAGGATCTGCTTGGCCCGCCATCCAGCAATTGTAGGTATAAATGTCCCTTGCCCAACACAGCCCCCTCCCCCCAACAAACCTTATCCCCCTCATCCCACCTAAGATCCATGTATAGTCCTCAAACCTATCACTTCTAATCTTGAATGACATTATATAAATGTTGAGAAGACAAGCGGCTACAGTAATAACTCTTTTAAACGTCAGTACTGTAAATCCTCTACACCCTAAAATCAGTATGCGTCTTCTCCATACTGTTGCCGATACATTTCCTAAGGAGCTGACAAGGACGATATCTTTGACAATCAAAACCTTCTTTAGTTGGTGATCGTTTTCTTTATTCTCGTGACCTAAAGTTTTGAATATCGATCGATGTAAAACTTTGATGAACCAGCTTTTCTTTCATTCTTAAGTGACATTCCATGGAACACTGCTTACACCTTCGATGGTGTGAATGATATTTGGTGCCAATGGCAAAGCCTTCTCAATTTGATCATCATGCTCCACTCAAACGCATGAGCCTTAAAAGCAATCAACTACCGTGGTTGAACCCTGCTATTCAAAAGCAAATGTGCGTCAGGAATCTTTTGTATTAGAAATTCGGCCGAATTCCTACGAATGCAAACTGGAATAAGTACCGGTCTCAGCGTGATAAGGTTACAGCTCTTAAAAGACAGTCAATTAGAGATTTCTGTTCTGATACAGCGTCTTTTTCTTCTAGATGCTCTCCTGATTCATTCTGGAAAAAACTGAGGCCACTCCTACCAAATAGCAAGTCCAGTGTCAATACAAGCTCAATCTGTTTATTTGAAATCGGCAGAATTGTACCTGACTCCAATGCGTATATACTAAAATAGCCGCACTACGGAGGATTAAGCGTTGAATTCCTTGAGACGTTATGATTTTCCTTTATAAAGCCGACGTGTTACCGCAATTAGAATATTGTTGCCCATTACTTCTGGGCATATCTCAAGCCTTGAAAAATTACATCGAACGTATCAATCATTATGCGATCAAAACATTACTAAATTTAGGTAATTCGACCACCTAGGACTGTTCCTTAGCAACGGCTGATGTGAACAAGCTTAAGCAAAGGCATATCCTGCAATCGCTTATTCTATTTTTTAAATGTTTTAAACTAGATGGCCCAAATACCTGATTTCCCACATATGGAATCAACTACCAACTGTCACCAAATCCTCGAGAACTTTAGCACAATTTCGTGCTCGGTTGAATAATGTCAACTTCACAGTGC